ATGTACTACGATGGAATCGGAAATTTGGGATGTCTAATCAGAACGGAGATTAAAGTTTGTCAGCGGGATGTTTGAATAGGATGTGGGCTTATTGCTGGAAGTTCGTCGCTAGTTATGAATATATATTTACTTAATTGGGATTGTAGGAGAAATTCTCGCAGCAGATATCGTTCGAACACCCCCAGAACATCGCTGCCCCGAACACAGAAATATTACACATAGTCTATTCTGGTACGTGCTGTAACGATGTTTTCTGCATTACGATATTCTGCACTGTGAACTGCGTCCTGTTGTATCTGTTTATGATTTTATATTGTGGTCCGTTTTCCTGAAGGCCTGCCCCCATAAAATTCTTTACAGACTTGTTCAAGCCGTCTGCTTCCCACCACGCGCTGGACGCAGTGGAAATGTAAAACAAAACTTTCACCATTGCAGGAAACTACCAACGTTAGAACTCTGAAGACATTCACTGTAGCGGAAAATTATGCTTCCAGTTACTGGTTTTCCGTTTACAGTTGAGATGTTACTACGTCATATGCATGCAAGCCTTAATATGAGTGTTCATGTAGCTGTTTATCAGCTAGTGTAATTTACGTCTCGTTTCTTTAAACAAGATGAACGATTATAGGAGTACACGATAATAACTTTAGCTCAATTTTTTGAACAGTGAAAGTAGCCTATTTTAACATAATCTTGATTTGTATTCTAAGAGGAAAGTAGGCCTACAGAAACGTTTTTCTTATATAAAACAAGGAATGAAGAATTCTACATTTTCTGCTGTCATATCATATTTCATTTACCTGTTGATGAAAACTAAAAATTATAGGTTAGAAACCGTCGACATGTGTTCTTTTTGACTACGTTGTGGTTTTCATTATAAAAAACTACTCCTTTTCATTGTTTCTTACAAATACCAGTAATTGATTAAAATTGGGCTTTTACCAGAAATATTCCATTTTAAAAGTTACATCTTCTCATCCTTTGTTATTTGCTGGCCGCAGTAATAGTTTGTTGAACACCTTTTAAGCTTCACAAACACGAGGCAGCAACTTTTTAGTATCTTCTGGTCTTCTGTTTGCCATTTAGCTTTGTCATTGATTACCAGTGTTTTGAAGGAACGTATCGCTTACATCTACGTGGTAGAATCCACGATCTGATCTTTTATTTAAAAAATGTCTTTATACATCTACGTGGTAGAATCCACGACTTATAGTTTTGACCATTGCAAAAAGTTCTGATCTTTTATTTAAAAAATGTCTTTGCTGTTGCTTTCATATGCACAATTCTGTAGGATACAGTGAATCAGGATGGAGACTCGTAGAAATTGCAAGGTTATCCAAAATAATTTGTCAGTATTTCTTTCATAGTGGCCCAGTGATATGTCATTAACCTCACTTCATGGTGCTGATATTGACAGATGCCATACATTGTTCCAGTGTTACGTGATGAATTCCGTCCCGTGCCAAAAGATACGCGCGTTGCAGCAGGAGAGACTGCACTCTTAGAATGTGGGCCCCCAAAGGGTCACCCAGAGCCCAGCCTGGTCTGGCGCAAAAATGGCCAGACAATCGACATTGAAGCGTCCAAAAGGTAACTACTTTGGAATTACTGAATTCAGCTCTTATTAAATTACTAGACTTGACAATCTCTGTATGATTTAACTTCAGAATGGGTTTAGAAGAATCGCTGTGTAAAAATTTGGAAGCCGTCAGATTTTGCGTAATCCGTAATATACAGTTAATGTTTTCTGCCTCACATTTTTATGTCCATCAGGTCAGTTGTACAAATGAAGGACTAAATAACTTATTTACGGGAGTTTTGGTTGAAGACGCTGAGAGAAAAAGTCATTTTTAATACCGAAGAATACATGGGAATTTAAAATGGGTGTTGAATAAAATGTAAGGGTATGGACTGGATTTATCTGGACAGGATGGATTACAGTGGTGAAACTTTGGGTTCCATAAAAGACAGCGTCTTGACAACCTCTGCGAGTTATAGCCATTTGAGAAGTCCGCCACTTGGCTCTATTAGGCACTAATCTGTCTGATTATGTCACACAACTTATTTGATGAAGGCCCATCGTAACATTGCCCTTTGTCTGCCATGTGACTGCTTTTAATTCTGATTTATAGTTTATTTCTAATCAATCACATGAAATAATATTGTTGTGTGGTTGCAGGGTGCGTGTGATAGATGGTGGCAATCTCATGATAGCTGACGTGCGGCCAGGGGACGAGGGAAAGTACCAATGCGTTGCTCAGAACATGGTCGGTATGAGAGAGAGCGACCCAGCTACTCTCACTGTGCATGGTATGTAATACCTTTAGAACTCGCCTGATTAGAAACGTAGATGATGGAATTTTGGCATGATGTTTTACATCGTCACTTTATTCAAGCAGGCAAAAATCATACAAGAACCTCGAGTACCTGGTCCCTGCAGTGCTTGATGATTATTATGCTACTATGTTGTGATTGGCAACATTCTCCAGACCGGTTTTGTGACACTTTATATTGTCGAATGATGGAATGGTGAGAAATGTATTAAATAGGATGTGGAATGCAGTGGCCTGAGGACTTTTGGAAAACCATGATAATCCTGTCAATTCAGGATAACTGGCCTCTAGATCAAGAATTCTTCTTCTTCTATGGCTCTCCAGTCCGTATTCGGTCCATGGCCTCCTCAATTCTCCTCTTCCATTCGGTCCTATCCTCCGCTGTGGCGGAGGTTTCGAAACATCTTCCTTTTTTACGGTGCAAATATGAAGTGCTTACCACTAAACGTTGATTAATTTGCACTGGAAGCTTTTCATAAATTAAATTTTGTACTTCTCACTGAAGTTTTATTTTCTGGCCCTGTTGTTTGGTTTTTTTTAGTAGTTTTAGTTCATGGGGAATATCCACCCACGATGCTAACATGCCTAGTAGTAATTTCAGTGCCTCATAACTGACAGTCTTATGCTATGTTTTAATGTCAAACATGATTATTGCCGTGGTTTCAGTGAAGCCATTCTTCAGCAAGGAACCATCTGATGTGACAGTGCTGGAAGGGCAGAGCGTGCAGTTCCAGTGCCGGGTCGGCGGCGACCCCGATCCCAACATCTTATGGCGAAGAGATGATGGGAAAATGCCAATTGGACGGGCACAGATCCTGGATGACAAGTCTCTCCGTATAGAGCACGTCGAACCAGTCGACGAAGGGCTGTACATATGTGATGCCGAGAATCTCGTGGGGAGCGTGTCGGCTCGAGCGTCCCTGACCGTGCACTGTGAGTACCCTGCGATACTCCTCCAGTAGTTTACAGCTTATTTTGTTTGAACATGTGGTATTTCCATCCTCTGGTGTTCTAAATACTACTTCATGTTTTCATTCCATGTGGAATTAACTACCTCTACCTCTTCTCATGTTCTTTACTTCACTCTGTAATTTGAATTGTACCAAAGTTTCATAATAATCTGTTTATTGTCTTTATTTATTACTTCTGTTTATGCTCTCACCTTCTCCATCCTACAGAACTTAAATGCTGAGTTATGATTGTCATGTGTCATTTTTATTTTAGTCATTAATTGGTCTCATGGTCATCATTGGTCATCTTGTGCTCTGGAACAACGTGTCCGCTAAAGTCAGTCCATTTATATGTTATTCATTATCCATTCTGAGGTTTAAAGTGATAAGTAACCATCAATGTAAGTTTTCTTCATTTATCAGGTCCTCATCAGAAATTTCCAATCTGCCACGTCACATTTGTGCCTATAACTTACATCACAGATGAAAGATATTCTTCCCAAAATGTCATAAAGAAGGGGATCAGCATGGAAAATTTTAAAAAAAAGCTGAAGTATGAATACTTTCATACATACTCAGATGTATTGCAACGAAACTTTCTTCTTGGGAAAAAATGGCTTCGTTGCAGGAATATTTTATTAACTCTCTGATGGCCAGACTAAGTAAGCCACACTGACACCAGTAAGAGATACTGCCTTGCAGTGCATCTCAAATAAACCCCTTTAAACACATGCTGCTGGTGTTACTCAGTATGCCTCATGGATAAGGCTTTGTTTGCTATTACGCTTGGCATTGTTTGTTTGGTTCATTAACATGTAAGTAATTATCATGATTGAAGACATATTCATCACCTTCTTGCTCTGAATCTCTTGTTTTTACTCTTTTCTTTGGGGCAATAATAGTGTTTTAGTACAGGCATGCCTCGTTTTATAGCGCCTCGAAGATATTGCGTTTTTTACAAATTGAAGGTTTGTGGCAACCCTGCGTCGAGCAAGTCTATCAGCGCCATTTTTCCAACAGCATGTGCTCACTGTGCGTCTCTTTGTCACATTTTGGTAATTCTTGCAATGTTCTCGTATTTTTTTAGACATAATGCTATTTCACACTTAATAGACTACAGTATAGTGTAAACATAACTTTTTATATGCACTGGGAAACCAAAAAAATTGTGTGACGTGCTTTATTGTGACATTTGCTTTATTGTGATGCTCTGGAACTGAACCCACAATATCTCCGAGGTAATGAATGGTGTTCGGTTCTGGACTATAACCCTGGGGGTTAACTTTACCCCTTTGACCATAAGCGTTGTATTTTGTGCTTCAAAATATCATGCTGCTTCTCTAAGATTTTCTATAATATCATTACAAGATATGAGATTTTGCTACTACAAGTGTCACATTGGTTTATGAAATTAGCATTTGTTTTATGTTACAAGAGTTCTACTAAGGCATTGCAAATATGGGATCTAAATACTTTTGAATTGCTGCGTATCTTGACTGTTGCATGTGTTTGCAGCTCCACCTGTATTCACAACAAAGCCGCAAGATCAAAAGGTTGGTCTGAACGGGTTGGCGAGTTTTGAGTGCGTGGCAACGGGCAACCCACCACCATCTGTGTTCTGGACTAAGGAAGGCAGCCAAGTGCTTATGTTCCCAGGCAACTCTTATGGGCACCTCCATGTCACCCCTGAGGGCGCACTCAAGATTCAGGGTGTGCAGCGTGAGGATGCTGGGTTTCTGGTGTGTTCTGCTCTGAGTGTGGCTGGCTCTACCACTGTGAGAGC